TGTAAATAATAAACACTGTTCTTTTGTATTTCCCCTGTGTCTGCCTCGTTCTGGGTCTCATAATATCTGGGTTCCCCGCGCAGTCGTAACAGTCTGCTGCTCCACCTGGGTGTAACTCGTGTGATGGATTCAATGCAGAGCACAAGTTTCAACACTTGTATGGGAATTCACATGGGGTTCATTACAGAGAGGGGAAATACAAAGTATTTCAAGAATTTATTTCTTATACCAATAATTTTGATGGTTATGGCATACAAATGACAAATTATGGAAGTGGTGGCACAGAGGTTATAGAAAGTGGGCCTGTGATCAGAAGATCGCCAGTTCAAGCCTCGGTACTGACAACATCAAAAATATGGGTGGGGTAGGTGAATCACCCACACTTGCCCCCACCCTTATTCGTCCCATTCTGGGCCCTTGAGCAAGGCCCTTGAGCAAGGCCCTTAATCCCCACCATCTGCTCCTCCGGGTGTCCTAGATGGCAGCTCTCTGCTCCACACAGAGGGCTGTGGTAGCTCGGTGGTCTGTGGTTGCGTCAGGAAGGACATCCGGCGTAAAAATAAGTCAAGATCTTCGTGCAACTTAGCACAGAAGATCAACATCATCAGGCCAGGGATCTGCGGTCTACACTCATCTCCAGGCCAGCGGTCACTCTTTGAAGGATGAAGATGTTCACATCCTGGACAGAGAAAAACGATGGTTTAAGAGAGGAGTAAAGGAGGCCATCTTTGTGAAAAGAAATCGTCCATCATTAAACAGGGGTGGAGGCCTCCGGGTTCAACTGTCCCCCTCTTACAATGCTGTGATTGCTAGTATCACTCAGCCCTCTGTGAATAGTAAACAGCCATCAGTGTGCTAATGATCCATTGTTAGGCTGATGGTCCTTCTTGACCATGTGAGCAGCTGGTTTGGGTTGTCAGCAGCAAACTGGTTGATCCACTCTGAGAAGGTGCTATTTAAGAGACTGAGCTGAAAACAGCACCTCAGACTGAGGAAGTCTTTTGGATGAGAGATGAAACTTTTCTATATTTTTTTTGCTTTGTTTTTTTTTTTTTGTTTTTTTTTTTTGAATGTCCAGAGGACCAGATTGAACTTTTTTGGATTTTTCTACCTGGATTATTGAGCATGCATCAGGATATTTCGTGCAACTTAGTTCGCTGTGGCGACCCCTAACACAGGGAGCAGCCGAAAGAAGAAAAAAAAAAAAGGCTTACAAATAATAAAAAACAAAATTCAGTGTCTCAGAAAATTAGAACATTGTGGAGAGGTTCAAAATTGGAAACTCCTGGTGTCACGCCCTGATCATCTGATTATCTCCTAGGCATGAGCTACAAATGTCTCATTCCTCCAGTCCAGCCACTCCTGAACCAGCGACAATGTCAGAAGTGTCTTACCTGCTGAGGAGACAAAGAACTGGACTGTTGCTCTGTAGTCCAATGTTCTCTTTTCAGATGAAAGTGAATGTTCATGTCATTTGGAAATCAAGCTCCCAGAGTCTGGAGGAAGAGTGGAGAGGTCCAGAATCCATGTTGTTGAAGTCCAGAGTGAAGTTTCCACAGTCAGTGATGATTTGGGTACATCTCCTCTGCTGGTTCTGGTCCACTGGGTTTTCTGAAGTCCACAGTCCATGCAACATCTACCAGAACATTTTTAGAGACTTCACTTCCTTCTACTGACGAGCTTTATGGAGATGCTGGAAATTAAATCAGCATCTCCATAAAGCTGATTTAATTTCCAGCAGGACTCAGCTCCTGTACACACTGACAAAGGTACCAAAAGCTGCTATGTCCATCCATCTTTACCCACTTTTCTTTTCTGGATTGAGGGGGTCACTGGTGCCAATGTCCAGCACAGTCCAGCACTGTGCAAGAGGCAGCACAGTGTCTTTTCCAAGGTGAGTTGTCTATGGTGGCCATCTTGAACTTTGACTGTAAAAGTTAATCAGTTGTAGATGTGCAACGAGTAAATATTTCATCAAACTTTTCTAAAACTGTGAGTTTCACTAAAATCTGTTCAGTGGTACAAGCAAAGAAAAGTTCAAACAAACCAGCACACACACTTTTTGACCCACTCTCCTTAGGCAGGAGGTTGCAGAGCATTAAGTGTAGAACCACTAGACTGAGGAACAGCTTCTACCCTGAGGCTGTTAGACTCATGAATGTCTAGCCAGGAAAATCACTGTAATGTAACTTTAATTGGTGATATGTGACTTATCTGTGCTGCTGATCTCATTCTGCTGTATTCATTCATACCCATCTACTCACTACAGACTCATGTTAGGGCTGCTGTTTAAATTGCCATATTGTTTTACATTATTAATGTTTAGCATATATCTGAGATATTTTATTGTTTAGTTTATATCTTAGATCCTTTTTTACTGTTTCTTTTAATACTTTATATCTTTGCTATTTTTGGGTGTAACTGGAACTCTGAGTACATCATTTTGTTCCACATCATGTACCATATGTGATACGAATGACAATAAAGAACCTTGAACCTTGAGATATTTTGCTAACAGACAGGGTGACTGTAAATATTTATGGCAAAAATAAATAAAACTTTCTCAGTCTGTTAGCATCCAAAATTTGTGTTTTGGGTCAGTGTCAGCTACTACCACCCTTCTTTCTATTAAATTCAAGTTGGTTTATTTATAAAGCTCCAAGTCACAACAGAAGTCATCTCAGGGAACTGAACAGAAACGTTCATATATAAAAATAATAATTTAACATTATTTATTTGAGGAACAGACTGCTTTAAATTTAACTCCATCACAGAACTCTCATCTTGAGCAAGCATGAAGGCAACAGTGGAAAGGAAAAACTCCCTCATGAGGAAGAAACCTTGATCAGAACTAGACTCGGGACAACCGGTCATCTGCTTTGACCGGTTGAGCTTGAGAGGAACAGATACACAGTGGAAGGTCAAGAATCACATGTTGAGATAGAAATAGTATCAAATGAAAACTATAAAATTTTAGCAAATCAATTAAGGAAATTAGGTCAATTTGTCCTCTAGTAGTTTAAACATAAGGCAGCATGACAATCCAACCCTAACTATAGGATTATATTTATCAAAAAATAACATCTTAAGCCCAATCTTATAAAAGGACAATGTGTCAGCCTCAAGGACAGAAAATAGAAGTTGGTTCCACAATAGAGGAGCCTGATAACTGAAAGATCTTCCTGCCATTCTGCTTTTGGAAACTCTGGGAACCACGGGTAAACCTGCAGTCTGAGAGCGAAGTGCTCTGTTGGGAAAATAGGGAACAATAAGATCTCAAATATAAGATGGAGCTAGATTGTTGAGGGCTTTGTATGTTAGAAGGAAGATTTTGAATTCTATTTTGGAATTAACAGAGAGCCAATGGAGAGAAGTTAAAACTGGAGAGATATGATCTCTCCTACTAACTCCAGTTAAGACTCTGGCAGCAGCATTTTGGATCAACTGAAGACTTTTTAAATAATTATTTTTATTTCTGTCAATATTTGTACCATTGGCTGAGTTATATTCATTTGTAATGTTCAAGATCATCTGGCTGTTTCTGCCATTTGGAACATGGCCAAATCCAAAAGGGATTCAGTTGTAGCTGTATCATTGAAGGATTACTATCTTCATATTTCAATCAGATCTTTCCAGTTGTTCATGAGATAGTTTGCTAACAGACACATATAAACACACACACATAAGAGGAACATTATCACCAGGCAATTAAAAGCACAATTACCTAGATCTGTGAAGGCTTTTTAAGTTTCATGTTTTTGATAGAACAGATTGAAAGTAATCTAAATCGGATAATCTCATCACAGGGCTGCTTCCATTCTAAACAGACACTGCACTTGTTGAAAAGCCTTTAATTAAATGATATCAAAACAATATAAATACAATTTCATCAAGTTGAGTGGTTAATAAAATCTACAATATCAGGTTTTGAACATTTGAATTTGAACTTTATTTAAAAGAAGTTTGCAGCAGTGGCTGTTTATGTTTTGTCAGCATGGACTCATGCCAGAACTACATCCTTCTTACGCATCCTGTTTGGGACATTTATCAGCAGAACAATGCTCCACCTGACCTCGGCAGGAAAACTGATCAACCTGATCATGAGAGAGTTTGGGCTTTTTCAGAGACTTCACAAAGAGATGAGCTAATCGTGTTCTTTTAATTAAAAACATCAGAACTCGAGGGGAACCTTTTTGTTGGAGGAACTCCAACTGATTGCTTCATAACAGTCCCACCCATCGTAAAGCACACATAAAACAGCCTGTCAACAACAGATTCAACACACAGCAAGGCAGGAAGAGGGCGGCCATCTCTCTGACAGACAGCTTTTCCTCCAGAGGACATCACTTGTTTGACCTGCTGTGCTGAAACAAGGTAAGATTTTCAGGAGCAAAGTAAATATGTGCACAACATAAAAATGTCTTCAGTTCTGTTGATGGTTTGAATTTATTTATTTAAATTATTTGCATTAATTTAATTATTTATTGTTCATGGGTGATTCATAGTAGAGCTAAACTTTTGTGTTTTTATTGTCTTTTAGAAGTGAACGGTGTTAAACCAGATTGGTAAAAATATGGGAAATGAGCAATCGACTAATGATGAACCAACCCAGGTAAATTCAAACACCGGGAGCCACTGAGCCTTAAAAGGACAGTTCAGTTATTTTGAAGTGGGCTGCTGTAGAAAAGGTTTGAACAATAAATATTTTGCCTGGGCAGCACAGTGGTGCAGATGATAGAGCTGCTTCTTCTCAGCAAAAAGGTTGCCAGATCAAAACTCAGCAAGGGACCATTCTGGGTGGAGTTTGCATGTTCTCTCCGTGCAAGCGTGGGTTTTCTCTGGGTTCTCCAGTTTCCTCCCACAGACCAAAAACATGCATGTTAGACTGATGAGTAACTCTAAATTGCCCCTAGGTGTGAGAGAGAGAGTGAGTGGTTGTTTGTTTCATTTGTCTCTATGTGTCCCTATGATGGACTGGAGATCTGTCCAGGGTGTCCCCCGCCTCTCACACAGTGACTGGTGGATATGCACGCCAGTGACCCCCGTGACCCAGAAAAGAAGAAGCGGGTAAAGCTACTGGATGTCTTACCTGTTGCCAAAACTTTTTTGAGTTGCCTCAGTTTGGAGTCTGACTCACGTTCAGTCTTCGCCATCTTTGTGAAAAGAAACCGTCCATTATTAAACAGGGGTGGAGGCCTCCGTGTTCAACTGTCCCCCTGTTACAATGCTGTTATTGCTAGTATCACTCAGCCCTCTGTGAATAGCAAACAACCATCAGTGTGCTGATGATCCATTGTTATAGGCTGATGGTCCTCCTTGATCATGTGAGCAGCTGGTTTTGGCTGTCAGCAGCAAACTAGTTGATCCACTGAGAAGGTGCTATTTATAAGACTGAGCTGAATACAGCACCTCAGAATGAAGAAGTCTTTCGGATGAAAGAAGAAACGTTTCTACATTTTTTGGTTATTGTTTTTTGAACGTTCAGAGGACCAGACAACTTTTTTAGATGTTTCTACCTGGATTATTGAGCATGCATCAGGATGTCTTCTCCATGAATTTTAAAACAGCTCTAATCTTTTAAATTTCATATTAATATAAACACTATTTTATAACCCTGGACATTACCAACAGTTTTATGTTACACAAATATTCCAGCAGAAAATTTAAATTCCTACAGGAAGTGTCCTGCAGCTGCGCCAGAGGTCTTCCAGCACACAGCTGCTTGTAATTAACCACAGCATTCCTGTAAACATCCTTATAAAGCAAACCTGACACTGGTGTAAAGTTTTGTAAAAGTACATTTGCACAAACTAAAAGTTTGTAGATCTGGGAAGACAGCAGCACTCCACTTTAGACTTACCTGTGTTCAGACTAACCATCAGCTCATTGGTCCTGTTGGACTTAAACTTATTTTGGTACATCTTTACAATAAGGCTCCCCTTAATAAATAGTTAATAGATACTTTATTAATTCCACTATAGACACTTTTTGTTACATTAATAATTGTTTATTATGCATTAATTAAGGGCAAGAAAGAAACAAAACTGACCGGTTTCTTGTCAAATAGTAAGCGAAATCTGTTCACCAATATATTTCATCTAGAGTTGTTGTATTAAACATTTCAGACTAAGTTACTACCTTGTAAGCACAACAATAAGCATTTGTAAACCTATTTTTAAGCATATAATATTGGTTGTAAATACTTATAATGCAGTGATAAAGTTCAATATTACAGTATATGGGTTAGGGTTGTTTTATTTTACAGTCTGATATTCTTCAAAAAGCTTTGTGCGCATGCATTTGTGTGTCTGACTATTGCCAAAATATCTCATGAATCACTTGATGAATATTAATACACCTCTCAGAAAGTAATGAGTAGATGTACCTCTAAACTTTTTGGAATTAACCTCTTTCAAGGTTATTATTAGAGGTAGTTAACCAAAACCCCAAAATGACTTGAAGCCAGTCAGTTTTATGGATATAGAGCTAAAATTTCACTTGGTAGTAGCTGAGAGTCATTCTTAGTATACAGGGTGTGCACATTGTTCTGCAGGAGATTTTGCATATTATTTTTAGGGTTTTACCAAAACAGCTACAACTCTGTCATTTCTCAAAATAAAATGATCTCAGTTTAAAACTTTTGCAGAAAAATATGCATTATTTTCTGGAAAGCTAGGCCTTTAATCTTATAGTTACTTTTTATTGTGAAGCTGCCTTTTAAACATATTTTATCTTTTTTTTATAGAATGGGAAAATTCTCGAGAAGCATGAAAATGGATCAGTGAATGGTCTCTCTGCAACCATCACATCCAGTGGATTGGAGAAAGATGGTGAGTGAAGAATATTTAGACAGTATCAATGAGGAAAATATTTATTTGTTACTCTTACTCTCTTTTGTTGCATCTTCTTTCTTCGTGGGAAAATAATCAGCTAAATAATAAATTAAATCAGCTGATGTCTTTTAAGATCCATGTTTGATTAGTCATTCAGACACTGATAAGTCTGTAAACAAAGTGACTCCCTGCTGGACTCTGTCAAATCTCCTAATGTAAACTTTAGGTGTGGTCTTAGTCTCATACAAGGAGCGACTGTTTGAACTGTCACAGTGTGATGTGTGACCTCCAGCAACAGAAAGGCTCTGCCATCCCTGCTGGCTCTGGGGTTTGTCTAAGAGCTTTAATATTGACCCTGGAGACAGAGATGTCACTTTCCAGCACCGACTAGCCCATGTTTACTTCAGAAAGAGTTACACATGCAGAGATCAATTAAATGTTGCATGTAAGCAGCTTCAAATTCACTGAAGTCTAACAGAGGCAGCTGTTAATTATTAACTGAGATGAGTCAGCAGCAGCAAAGATTTTTAAATTAACACAAATCGGGAATTTTCTACAATCACTATAATATTTTCTGCAAGATTTAAAGATCTAGTGTTCCTTGAAGGAGTGCATATCACTTGCCATCTTTCATGCCAGAGATTTAGATCAAGATCAAAGCCAGCCGGTCGAAGCAGATGACCGCTTATCCTGAGCCTGGTTCTGCCAAAGGTTCATGAGGGAGTTTTTCCTTTCCACTGTCGCCTTCATGCTTGCTCAAGATGAGAGTTCTGTGATGGAGTTAAACGCAAAGCAGTCTGCTTCTCAAGTAAATAGTGTTAAAAAAATTTTTTATTAATGTTTTTGTTAACCTATTATTTTTATATATGAATATTTCTGTTCAGTGCCCTGAGACGACTTCTGTTGTGACTTGGCGCTATATAAGTAAACTGAATTGATTTGAATTATGTTGAGAGTTGAAGACTGTAAGTCACTCTGGGTGTTGTGTTTGTAATGACTCTTAGCTACTACCACATCAAGTTGTTGTTAGTACCTGTAATAATTAACAAGGTTATAGCCTTTTGTTATTAGCTAATACATGTTAGCTGTCTTGGTCTTAAAATGAGTTTACTCCAAAATTTAATCAGCTGTTGATGTATATTCAATTGTTAGTTTGTAAAAGTTTAATTCAAATCTGTTGACAGATATGGTAAATGGTAAATGGACTGTACTTATATAGCGCCTTTCTATCTTATTTCAAGATACTCAAAGCGCTTTACACAACAATCTGTTTCCTCATTTACCCATTCATACAGCACTCTACTAGATGTATATATACAAAGCTAATTGAACAAATCATTCTAAAGAGACTAATCAAAGCTTTATCACATTCATACATCAATGGGACACACATCAGAGGCTATGAGGGGTTCAGTGTCTTGCCCAGGGACACTTCGACATGTGACTGCTGGTGGATTCGAACCCCCAACTCTCGCATTGGAGGATGACTGCACTAGCCACTCAGCCACAGCCGCCCCTCATATTTTGCTAACAGACAAACAGGGTTGACACCAAGAGTTGATGCCCAAGTTTTAAGCAAATATCTGGTTCAATAAGTAGCACTGGGAGTATATGTTGTGAATAAATCTCAGCTACTACCAAACTGCATTTTAACACAATATGTTTTAAACTGAATGAATTAGAGTCATTATGGTGTTTTCTATGGTCAGTTAGCTGTGGTGGACATCTTAATATATGTTGGCTCTAAAAGTTCATCAGTTCTAGTTGTACATCCAATGATTATTTCCTGAATGTTTTGTTCAGACTTTTCCAGCGGTGCATGAAATATTTTGCTAACAGACCAACCCAACTGACTCCAAATAAATAGTGCCAAATTTGACAACAAAGTTCTGAACAATCTGTTACCACTCAGAGAATGTGTTGAGGATCAGTCTCAGGTACTATCACGCCAAATGTCTGTGAAACTGACAGAATTACAGTCATGTTGTGTGTTTTAGGATCTGTTGGCTGTGGCAGCCATCTGAAATCAGACTGACTCTAAACATTCATCAGGTATAGATTTACAGCCAATGGTTATTTTCTAAGAGATTCAACAAATTAGTCCAGTGGTTTTGAAATATTGTTGTAACAGACACATAAGCAAAAAACATTATCACCCTCCATTGATTTTGTGTGTGTGTGTGTGGGTGTGTGTGTGTGTGGGGGGGGGGTGTCAATGGAAATTTCCTCTGTCTGTCCATCCATTGTGAGCTCAATAATTTGAAAAAAAGTGAGGTACCAACTTATATTTTGGCGTGTAGATGCATCTAGGTGTAAGAAAGTTTCTTGTCAAAAATAGGGTTGCCACCCCAAAATTCAAGATGGCCACCACCAAATACATATGTAAATCAACCACCCATATCATTTGAGGAACATATGTTTTTATTATATTGCTATAGTTTCCTCAAATGATTGGGGTGTTCAAAGCTTATTGTATGGTGGCCAAGGCCACCATTGGCCACCCCCTGGCACTGCCACTGTGTCTGGTTGTGAATAAAATTACTCCCTGAACTCACAGGGATCTATCACTGTGCTACAATGGATAAGCAACAGATACATAAATAAATAAATAAACTACCTCTGCTCTTCTCCACAGTGTAAGGGGCCGAGATGGTGTAGAGGCAGGGCAGCCGGCTTGGGACCCGAGAGTCCCAGGTTCGATCCCCAGTCACTGCACATCACGTGGCGTCTCTGGGCAGCACGTCTAATCCCCAAAATGTCCCCCGGGCGCTTTCAATAGCTGCCCACTGCACCACCTGGTGGTGGATGGGTTAAATGCAGAGACTAATTTCGCCATTGTATGGAAACATACAGTGCTGACATTGTGATGACATTATTATTATTATAACTCCTCTTCAGTGTAAAATATTGCACCAAAAACATTTAGGTTTACTTACATTCCCTGTTCAACTCCAGGCCAGAAAAACGCTCATCTCCAAAACTACAAACATTTACTATTCAAATCCTTCCATGACGGGGGACATCTGCACAGCTTGTTGTGTCTGTTTTCTGTCTTACTGTTACAGTTGTTATAAAAACGGTTTAGTGTAAAAAAAAAAAAGAGGCACTTGAACTCTTTCGTTCAGTGTTTTGTTGGCATTTATTTATGAAAATGGATTTGCCTTTTTTCACATTTATTATTCTGTATTTGCAGTTAAAAGTGACATCACAGTCCATCAGAATAGCGAGCCTCAGTCTTCAAAGCCCACACCAGAAACAACAGATAATGTGACAGTGGAACCTGATGGCCGACTTGCCACCACTCAAGATATTGCTGAACTCCTCAATGTGGCCGAAATCCTCAATGTGGCCTCTGAGAACCCTGCGACGACTTCCAACGAGGAACAGGTCAAGAAGAGCAAAGAGGCGAAACGTCACGTTTTTGGCAAACTGTTCAAAAAGAAATCTGATCGAAGAGCTGATAATGAGCCGGAGAAAGAAAAAGAACAGCAGAGCTCAAACGAAGATCAAGTAGACGTTAGTCAGACGACTCCTGAGCCGCAGCAGGTGAGAGAAACATTCCAGACTTTTACACAATGAAATCTTTATTTTGACAAACACTATGAGACATCCTGAACAAGACGGTAGTCTATAAAAACACGAGCAACATATGACAGATCACACACGCTGCTTCTCTTTAATAATTATTTTCCATTAAGGAACACATATCACTCAGAGCTCGTCTTGTGATTAGACACAGTCATACCCTCTTTGGTCAAACCTTGAAAAAGCTCATACACAATCTCATATAATGCAATTTCTTGTACAATCTATAAACATTTAGAGTTTGTTAAATGGATGACTCTCAGCTACATCAAATTTTACCTCAATATCTGTAAATATTTCTTAACCATTTTTTGTAGGTTAAGGTTGAGCTGAGGTTACCATTTTAAACTGGGCTGACCTCAAAAGTTATTTGGTTGTGGATGTTGTCCAGCAATAACTCTCCGAGAGTTTCAGCCAATCCTGTTCAGCGATTCAGAAAATATTTTGCTGACAGTATGGACACACACACACACACACACATACACACACACACACACACACACACACACACACACACACACACACACA